AGAGAGAGAGAGAGAGAGAGAGAGAGAGAGAGAGAGAGAGAGAGAGAGAGAGAGAGCGCGAGCGAGAGAGAGAAAGAGAGAGAGCGCGAGAGAAACAGAGAGGTGTGTGCGCGCGCGCGCGCGTGTGAGAGAGAGAGCTGTGCGTGATTGTGCTGTGCTGTGCTGTGCTGTGTGTGTGTGCGTGCGTGCGTGCGTGCGTGCGTGTGTGTGTGCGTGAGAAAGAGAGAGAGGTGTGCGTGTTTGTGCTGTGTGTGTTTGTTTAGTGAATCAAAGTACTTATCCATACTACGTACACTACAGACAGTCTACAAACGTACATAGGCCTATACTAGCTATTATAAAAAGCTGCGTTTGATAGCTAGAGTAGATGCAGTAAAATCGGTGAAATTTATGAAATCTCACGATGTAAACAAACTCAAGTCTATGAACATAATATGTGTTGCGTGCAATCCAATTCTGCCCAATCTACGAATCTGCCGACTGTGTGGCAGCCTCATTGAACTGTAGCACCTAAAACCCATGCTGATAAACCTGTCTGGTAAATCGGGATCCTCTTACCTCTTCTGCTTCCTTTCTTTTTTTGAATCTCAGGGGGGGATAATTGTACAGACTATCCCCCCTCCTTCAAGAGCAGGGGGGATGCATCCCCCCACCCCCCCGGGATGAACGCCCGAGTTAGTGACTGTTGAGCGCTGCGCATAGCGCAGCCGCATCTCGTAGTGCAGCGCGTAGCGCTGCACGGAGCAGAGCGGGGACGCGGGGTGCTCGAGGGGGTGACCCCCCCCTCGAGTTTGAAAGAAAAATGAAAATAACGCCTAAAAATACCGCATTTCCTTGCACATTTTTCTGTATTATATCATATTTTACTTGTTGTTATTTCATTAAAATCATCATGAGTTGTCATGAGTTGCCACCACGAGCACACAATTACACAATTTCCTGATTACACAATATGGATTACAGTATGAGAGCGAAGATACTTATAGTGACGACATCGCGATTCGCGAGCATGCAGCAGATCGATTTTGGGGTTCTCTATCTCATTTCATTGTACACACTCCTTACCCTGCGTTATAGGCTACCTTGTTCTTACAGCTCGGTGGGGGGTGTGTTTAGCAAATTAAACTTATCAAACAGATAATGGCCGCTTCTTGTTCTCTCTCCGTCATCTGTTTTCCGCTCTTTCTGCTGCCTCCTCTCTCAGGCCAGAGCCACCATTCTCTCCTCTCGGTCGAGGTGGCCGGTGGCTCTCTCTCTCTCTCCTCGTCTCTCTGCTCTCTCTCTCGGATCTGCTCTAGCGTCGTCCTCTCGATCCTCGTCTGTGCTCGTTCTCTCTCGATGCTCATCTCTCTCTCTATCATCTCTCCTCTGCTCTCGTCTTCTCGGCGTGCTCTGGCCTCGTGGTCGCTGTCTCGTCTCTCTTCTCTGCGGTCTCTCTCTTCGAGGTCTTCTCGTCTCGTCTCTCGAGCTCTGCTAGCTGCGTGCGTTCTCTCTCTCTCGTCCCTCTTCTCTCTCCGTCTCTCTCGTTCTCGCACTGTCATCTTCCTCTCTCGGTCAGATCGTTGGCTCTCGTCGCTGGCGGTGTCTGATTCATCGGTCGGATCTCCCCTCTCTCTGCTGCTCGGTCTCGTCCTCCTTCATCTCGGTCGCTGAGCCCTCTCTGCTCCCGTGTCTCGTCGTGTCTCCTGTGGTGTGGCGCCCTGGTCTCTCTCTCCTCTCCCTTTTCTTCCTCTCCTCTTCTTTTCTTTTTTTAATGTTTCACCCCAAACACCCCCCCTGCGTACGCCACTGACTAAGCCAACAACGTGGTAAAGAGACTGATTACAATTTGACCAAAAATATATCCAGATGGCATCCAGAAGGCAGACATAGGAATTTGCATATTTTTATTTCCATTGCGAATAAAATTGCATTAAAAGCGAATACTCATATTTGATTAAACTCCAGTTGTAGCTTCTGTTGCATATTTGATCACCTAAAAACATTCATATTCTTCTGCTATTGCAACTGCTCGGTACAAATCCTAGAAGCCATCAGAGATACTGTTGTTTTTCCGTAATTGCTGTCTGCTGCATTACGAAACACGCTTAACTGAGCATGTGAAGGCTACCCTTGCAAACTTAGACAAGATGAATAATTTGAGCCTGTATGCTGCGGTTAAGCATGCTTCTGGCCCGGCCGTGGCCCGCACTAGTTTGATGTAGGATAATATTTTGCAGCCTCTAAGGAGTAACAGATTCTATACAGTAGCCATGAAAATGCCTCATATAAATATATATATGTGTGTGTGTGTGTGTGCGTGTGCGTGTGCGTGTGCGTGCGCGTGCGCATGTGCATGCGCATGGGGGTGTGTGTGTTTGTGTCTTATGTGTGTGCATGAGTGTTCTAAAAATGGAAAGAAGAGAGGAAGTGGAAATTATGATAAACAGGTATAATACCTTATTTGCAAACACAGTCAAAATAAACTTTCCAGGATGAAAGATCTGCAGCACGTCACCAATCATCCTTTTGTAGCATCTCTGGAAAAATGCCAAGAACAACATTTACATAACTATAAATAAATAAATTAAAACAACTTTCTTTGAAGTGTTACATGATGAATACTTGATTACTTTCCATACCCTTTTCTACGACATTACCATAATCTTATAATGAATGGCATAGGTACTATAGATGTGAGTCATTGTAATAAGCATTTTCTGCTCACCTCACTAGCATTGGTTTCAAAACTGACGTATGAAAACTCATCCTCGGGAGTAACATGAATTGTCATGTACTTGTCCTATAATAAGATCATTTTACAGATAAGAGATAAATGGATTGTATGCTATACACAGCTTTATGTCGTACTGTTGCTAAAAATGGGTAGCATTCAGACAAATATATAAGCGTAGAACAAAATTGTTGTAGATAATTTTTAAACTGAGAACTAGGAAATCAGGTTTAATAGTAAACTATAGAAGTTCAAATGTAGTTGGTAAAAGGAAACTTACTTCATCAAACACACCATTCATTGAGTATCCACAGGGATCGAAGAGGAAGTCATCTATTTTCATGTTTGGCCACAACATGCCGATTCCCGTTTTCTGTAATATCCAATAATATGAACCAATAACATGAGAAAACAGACATTTCTTATTTGCAAGCATAAATAAAACAAAAAGAGATAGGTAAAGGTATAAACCAAATTCCACCAATTCACTACTAATTGTCAAACACTATTCCCTAGTTACCTCAGTAATTTCTCGAGCAGTGCTACTTTCTTCACATGTAAACATTTTCATCACCTCTGGATCCAGCTTAGTCATCTTTGATAAAACGTGATTAAGACATAATTCACTTAAAAGTTGAAAGATTGTACATAAATATGCCAAATAATGTTTCTACTTGTTCTTTTAGATATAAATTTAATATTAGATCCACACACGCATGTAAGCAAACACAAACACACGTGTGTGCGCACGCGCACACTCACACTCACACACACACACGCACGCACGCACGCACGCACGCACGCACGCACGCACGCACGCACGCACACCAGCCTGACTTGCGTGACATTTCTACAAAAAATTACTTTTAATGGTCTGGCAGTCCTATGTTAGCTTGCTGCTACTTGTTTTAAGAAACTGTTTTAGCAAAAGCACCAGTTATGCATATTTTAGCATTGAAGTTATTGCAGCCACACTAATATTTTCTCAGATATCATAAATTATTCTGTGTGACTTTCGTGATGGGCCACTAACACGTTTTGAAGTATACTTCACACTCCAGACTTTTCCTAGAATACTATAAGTTTGATCTAAGTTATACCTGATGAACTAGGTACCCATTACCCTTGATCACTCCATACATCATTTGTCCTGCTAGAAACCTCTTGTGGAGTGAGCAACATCCTCCTAAGTATGTGACTCGCATGACACTATTGTGGCTCGCGTGACATAGTAGGCCTATCTCATAGCGTTAACAAATGTTAGGGTAATCAGAATTTTGATGACTTAAATGTTATGATCCATGAAGAAAATGTTAATACTTAGTTACGCTGAGAGGGTCTATGTCCCCCGGGGTACTGCCGGAACGTACCCTGGTACTATATTATATGCCGGACCGTACCTCGCCTACTCCACTAACGAGTCTAGGGAGTCGCCTACGCCTACTCCCTAACCCTAACCCGAACCCGAACCCTAACCCTAACCCTAATCCTAACCCTAACCATATCAAATAGTGACCAGGGTACGTTCCGGCAGTACCCTGGGGGACATAGACCCTATGAGTCTTAGTTACTAACATGATTAATTGTGAAAACAGAAAAAATGTATGTACAGCCGTACAGCCTCGTCGCACCACTCAGGTTTAACTGTCATATTGTTTTTAACGTTTGGAAAAACTATATACATTTTATACAGGGTGGAGGTAAATAAAAGCTTCCCTACGTTATGACTAAACGTGGTTTACGTAAAACACCTCTCAGAAATGTGCTTTATCATTTGCATCACTTTCTGTTTCCCAATATTCTGTACACAATCTAATACATCAGGCAGAATGGCATTTGGCATTAAGAAGTTTACAAATGTTCATTTTCATACCTAATCCGAGTGTTTCTAGCTCATCAAAACTCTCAAATCGTGAATTTATTTCCCAATGTGTTATTTTGAAATCTGCCGCCATCTTTTTCTCGTTAAGTATGAAAGCGAATGGACTGCTGTACCTCCAGCCTCGTAAATTAGAGATACGGCTGCCGTACCTCCAGCCACTGCCTTATATCATTGCTCTGCTGCAGTTCGTGGGTTCGTGTAAGGTATCGTCAAGCAAGCACTTATGAACTAGCCACCATTTCCGATAGAGGCAGAAGAATAGGAATATTTCCGCAGAGGAAATTGAATTCATAAATTATGAAGTGGGACAGAGAAAGAGGACTGTATGGAAGTTTTGCTGGCAACCTGACAGCTGTAGTTATTAAAAAGACATGGAAAACGGTGAATAAAGCAGTCAATGCCGTATCCAGCAAGTCACAAACTCAAGTTGAGGTGAATGTATGGGTGTGTGCGTGTGAGGTGATGTGAGTGTAGGTGAGGTGAGGTGAAGTGCGGTGTGTGTGTTCAACTTTCATTTCTGCCAGGAAAAAACTCAATCCTATCTTTTCCTGATTTGGCTGGTTTCTTAGATGTTTGCATTACTCAACCTTTTCATTTGCTCTTGCCATGAAATCAATTAACCGACCCTACGGAGTGCTGTTTTTCTCAGCCCTATATGTCCTGAACATTAGCGTTATCATTCAAGCTGTATGATCCACACAGTACATGATCAGTGTGGGTGTGTGTGAACGCGTGCGCGTATGATGTCTGCAGCAGCAACCGGCGAAGCCCCTTCCCCAGAAGCTATGCATTCTGCCCAACATAAACCACATTTCGTGACATTTCCTGAAAAGATAGAAATTTCAAAACACTACAATCTATTTAATTTGTAACATAACTTACATACACTACTATGGCTAAAAAACTGTTATGCAAGAATAAATAGCAAACAAACATAGTTAAGATCAATAGATGCAATTCACTTGTGAAATAGTGGGAAAAAATTCTTTTATCAATTTAATTTTTCTCAAGAGGGAAATCCGTCCACAGACGGACAGTTAACACCCATTTTATTATCGTTTGTTTCGTCATATCTGCATAAAATGCAGTGTCAAAGCTCAATTATTGTGCGAATGGATGGTCGCCTTTGCATACCGTATGCATGAAATAGAATGATTCTGACGAAATAGAACTCTTTGTGAATGCCACCTCATGCCTGTTTGTGCCTACGAACGCTGGTACTCACGATATTGGACGTACACACTGTTCATGAATCCGGCCCCAAGAATAACTTTTCCAGGTTTAGTTTTCATACATTGAAAAGTACAGTAATTTATTCAAGACGGCTGCGCCCACAGGCAATATGTGCTCGCGTGGTTTGGCATTTATAATAGCGGCTGGTTGCGATAACAATGATATTTCTTGCAGAAGATTTCTTAACCTCGTGTATAAGTTGCCCCCCCTCCCCTCATTTTTTTCATTGAAGTTGTGTACAAAAAAGTGTGACTTATACACATGTAAATGCGGTATATATATATATATATATATATATAAATAGCCAATAATACATAGGGTGTACAATGGGAAAACGGGGAAATAGTGCTACAGAGACTCCCCGACTTACGAACAGGTTCGGTTCCGAGCAGTCGTTCGTAAGTCGATTTGTTCGTATGTCGAACAAATGTACGTTCGTATACAGTATTGTACAGTAGTGTAGTATATGAAGAGTTTCATCGCAAAACGAGATATATAAATTTTAGCCAATTTGAGTAAACTGGAATTTTTCATAGTGAACAGAATAAAATGAAGAAATCAAATCATTTCAAGTTTTTAGACTTTATTCAAGTAATACTAAAACATGCAACATTGAAAATAAATCTGAAATTTTAAAATTTTAAGAAAATTCTAATTTTGATTCTTTTTTGGCAAGACGCTACATATCCACAAGAAACTAATTTTGCAAAGTGAGACATATCCAATGTGTGCTGGAAAGGGTTAATAAATCTGCTTTTTTTCATTGACTGTTTAATTAAAATCTTGTTACTTGCTGATAAGTTAATTTCCAGGTTAAGAGTCCATAGAAATGTCCTTGTTGAGGGGACTGGGGTACCGGTAGGTCCTCATCACCTTGATCACTGCTATTGAGTTGCCGTTTCTTCTGAAGCTAGCCAAATTCAAATTTTTTCACTTTAACTAAAGAAAAAATAAATATTGCATGGTAAATCCAAACTGTAACTGGCATCACTGATATGAGGTTTTATGGTGGGAGGCCATTGGTGTTCATTCAGATGGTGAAATACTATGTAAAAATCACTCAAGTCAGTAAACCAACTCATTTCCTCAGCTCTAATTAATCATACTGGTAATAATTGCCTAGGAGAGCCCGAAACAGGCATTACACAGAATATATTAAACTGCGAGGCTACGCCTACGATGACAACGCTACATGGCGCAGGATAGCGCCCCTTGGCAAGAAGTCCTGTTGATCGACGGCACAGCTTAGCTGAGACGGCCGCAGAGAAATCTTGTTGCTTGATTGCCATAGCTTGGGCTCTAGCTAGCCATGGGGTGTGACTTAGCTTGGGTAAAGCCAGGTAGTTTAGCCTTTTAGCCGATAGGCACTGAGGGTGGTCACAGCCAGAGTTCTTTTGCGCCCTCAGTGGTTCTTTTACATCCCCATTGGCCTTAGTATTACTGGAGACGGGACCGCCATTTTACGTGGTCATCCGAGCCACGAGAGATTCACAGTCTCCAATGTTGAAAGCCAGGTTTTTACACCTTGAGAAAATTTACTGCCCCGGCCAGGGTTTGAACTCACAGCATTCAGTGGACAGTGTACGAGGCCTAACCACTGGGCCACAGAAGCTCCATACTGGTAAGGGACCACCCATAAAGTACGCATGCATTGAGGGGGAAGGGGTCTAAGAATTCTTAAAATTTCGGTGAACCTGAGGATGTTTGGGGTGGTGTACTGGCCAATATGATTTATCAAATTTCTTACCGAGTCATTCAAACTGCATAATCATCATTCTCCCTCTCGGAATCCTCGTCGCTGCCAGCTTCCATGTTTCGATCATCAGCACTAGCCAAAGCTCTGTCATAGAAGTCCATGATATCCTGAGGGGCTCCTATTTCAGCCAGAAGATTTTCAATGTAAGTCTTTTTTGCAGCCTTGACAGTTGACTCCATCTCAAGAGGCCCTGGTTTGAAGTTTCCCCACTGCTTTCCGCGTTTTAGGACCGTAAGGTAGCAGTACTCCGCAGCATATGTGGTCTTGTCACTGGTGATAGACAGCATTCGGGCATTACACAACTTGAATGTCCTCTGGGATTTGACAAAATCCTTTGTCTCAGATTTGAAGTCGAGTGCATCCCAATCATCCCTATAGGGTTAGGGTTGTTGCTTACGCAAGATAGCACAGTACTCCTTGGGGTGGAGGATTGTATCCTGTTTACGAATCATCTCTTCAATCCTACCAAACACTCTGTCTGCAGGCAAGAAACTGTGTCCACGGATGGGGAATGTGAATTCGATGGCCATGCCAGGAAACGCACATTTTCGTAAGGTAGACAGCATGGACAGGACATTCATGTTCTTATTCTGCCCAAAGCATGAATCGCTGAAGAGTCTTAGTTTCTGCTTTTGATGCATTAGACCATTTAACCTTACTCGAAAACAGTCATCCAATGCCGAAGCAATCATGTTTGAGTCCTTTTTGTTCTGGTGCTCCATCT